GTTCTCAGCGGACACAACATCTCAACATCTTTGTTGGTATGTGGTGCTGAGGATCGAACCCGGGCCGCACGCATGCCAGGCGAGCGCGCTACCGCTGAGCCACATCTCCAGCCCCGTACATATATATTTTAAAAGGGCTGGGGATGTGGCTCAGTGGTTGAGCACCCCTGGGTTCAATTAGAAGAAGGAGGAGGAGGAGGAAGAGAAGGAGGAGGAGGAGAGAAATTCAATGTACAAAAGTTTAGAAATCATAACCATGCAAACAGGAAAATGCCAGACAAGTAGCTAAGCATCTCTGAGATGGGATGGATAGCATGAGTGTTCTGCAGCATGCTATCTCTGAAGTCAGCAAATCCATCTGTGTACAGGAGGACTCTATTGTGTTTGCAAATGAGAAAATCTAAAGAAATGGTTATCCCATGCATATTTTTTTAAAAAGCTCTTTGTATTTTAAAAAATTGCTCTCAACTYCTTGATAGGGAGGGTCAGCATTAATGAAATTCTCATTAAAAAAAAAAGGCCTCAGTTAAGCAAATTTTGATTCTGCTATTTGACCTAAGTCGTTTCTCCAGAGGTAAATCCCTTCAATTCTGGGCTTTGTTACCTGATCTATAAAATCAGTATTCCATTAAATGAAATTTCAGGCAGGCCACAAGCCTGGGGCTCCCCTACTAACCCCAGCTCCTCTACTTACTAGCTGTGTCACCCAGGGAAGGGTATGTTGGAACGGTGAGTATACACACACACACACACACACACACACACACACACACACACACACACACACAGATGGCTCCCATCTTACAAGTTGGACTTAAATATCATGTGAAAGCAATATTCATTCAATAGAAACCAAACTTGGCTTTTTGAATTTTGATCTTTCTCCAGGTTAGCCATAGCTAGAGACACTCGCTGGCCAGACGGGCAGAGCGGGGGGTCAACCACGCGATCGTTCATGACCTCACACAGATGAGGAGCATCTGTGCACCGTGTAACCCCAAAGGAAGGCACATTTAATCTCCATTTCAGAAACTACCAAGCCGAAAGGTGGTGAGGCTCGGAAACTTATCCATGGTCACGCAGCTTCCCCCCACCCGCCTTGGGTACTGGGAATTGAACCCGAGGCGCTTAACCACGGAGCCACATCCCTAGCTTGGACACACAAACTCTTTGAGTTGGAATTGAGCCCAGCAAGCGGATTTCAGCGCCTTTACGCTCCATCGCCACCCTTGGTCGCGACCCTAACAACAACTCCTCCCCGACGCGATGAGACCCATCGGTTATCCGAAGCAAACCGCCCAGACCGCTGGTGGCCTAGCCCCTGGGGTTTGTTTTGGCTTCTGGCCGCCCTGCCGTTTCTCCAACAATAGTGCCGTCAAGCCTGCATTCTATTGAAACAGGCTCAGAAATAGCGGTAAATTGCACGATTTCGCCTCTTAATGCACATTCAGAACAGAGAGAACCGAAGGCGCAGGCGCCGGGCTGGGCTTTTCCCCCTCCCTGCGGCCGCCAAACCACCGAAGCCCGGTCGGTGCCTCCTCCCGCTTCCCTCCAGGTGGCGCTGTAGGATCGACCCAGGTTCCAAGGCAACTCGCCTAGGTTTGGCCTCCTCCGGATGCTACGAAGCACAGAGAAAAGCGACTTCAGAGCTAGAGAGACATTTTCCAGGAGCCGCCCAGGTACGTCACCAGAAGATCCTCGTACACTTCCACTTCCGGTTCTCAATTCCGGAAGTTGCTCTCTGAGGTAACGTGCTGGTTCGTGTGGTCTTTGTGAGATTCCACCATGGCGTACCGTGGCCAGGGCCAGAAGGTCCAGAAGGTGATGGTGCAGCCCATCGTATCCTATGCAGTAGGTCAGGATTAGGAGTTTAGGGCCGGAAAACGGGCTCGAAGGCGCAGGCGGGAAGCAGGCCTAAGGGAGCGGAGTGCGGGCGCACATCCCATGAGCCCTCGGGGCGACGGAGCCGGGAGAAAGCGCGGGTAGTCGAAGAACCGGTGGGGGGTGGGCTCGGGCCGCCCCTGCGGCAGAAGTGCAGGAATCGCGGGGAGAGAGGAGGGGAGACAACGTTAGGTGGATACGGAGTGAAAGCGGGAGTTCACGGTCTAGGGAAGGAGGAAGAGAGGTTCTGGGAGGATGATTCCGCCCACCCCCACCCCCGAGCGAAGGCCCGGTTTGGCCCTTCTTGCAGTAGGCMCCAGAGCTCGCCTTCAGAAACCAAAGTTGGGATGAGGGTTGGGTCGATCCTCAGTTTCAGGGAGCAGAGCCTGTGCTGTGATGGATTTCGTCCTTAACTGCTGTGGTGCAGAACCTCATCTTCAGATACTTGCAAAACGTAAGTCGTTAATTGTCTTGTAGCTACTGTTTTAATAAAAGTTGATTTCATTTGGCTATTTGCGTCAACTTTCCTGATCGTTGGGTTCTGGAGTTTAAAAAACACATGAGATGTAAAACTCATTGAGGGGAAAGTTTAGAGAAAAAGCGCTAATGYAATAAGGTGGTGGGTATGTGTTCCAGCACCTAGCGTGCAAAGAATGGTGTCATTACTTTGCAGGATCAAAATTACTAAACTTTATTTATTTGCAGACGTGACCTTAGTAGTCGGACATTGGTACTTTTGTTGGTAGTGATTATAGGCTAAAACGTTGGAAACTTTCTCACTTCCTTCTTCAGGGTGAAACAGTGAAAGCCACACTGGCTCACCTTTAACCAGGTCATAAGGTGCTATGTTTAGTATATATGAAAAAACTTAAGATACTTTTTTTTTTWAAAAAAGGAAAGGGAATGGAGCGGATGCAGAGCAGTTAATGGCAGCTGCTTTTGGGGGGAGGAATTTTAAGCAACCTAAAGACTTAGAATGAGACAACACAATTGAAGAACAGATTAAGCCATTACAATTTTTAATCTCCAGAAATGAGAGTTCCTCCCCTGGTTGTTATGTGTGTGTRCTATGGAAAACTGAGAAACTAGAAAAACTCCTCTATTTTTTATCTGGGTTTTGCTAAAGCAGATAAGAAAAGAAACCTTGATCAATAAAAATTACTGCTTTGTGCTATACTGTCTCCAAATTTCACTCTTTTGAGACAATGCAGTTAGAAATATTACTAAGCCCCAGGATAAAGGAAATTACTAGCTTGAACAGTCCCCATGTAGCAATTATTAAATRAAAGTGTTTTTTAGCAAGTAAACCAGTCTTGGTTACCAAATACTAGGTATGGACTAATTAAAATTCTTGGCTTGCATTTATTAAAAAATGTTTAGGAATCATTTCTTTATTGTTTGATCAAAGTATTTAGTTTGTTTACTGTTTAAAAACATTCTGGTGTTTATGATTATTTCAGAGATCCCGGATTCAGGTGTGGCTCTATGAGCAAGTGAATATGCGGATAGAGGGCTGTATTATTGTAAGTACCCAGGGTGGTGTTCTCAGAGCAGTTTATTGATAGAAAAAGATTTATAGAAAATGACCACCAGAGCAGTATACAAAAAGTCAAAGACCCAAACCAAGGAAAGTTTTTCAAGGCACATTATTTATATTTTTCTCCTTGTTCTCGTTTATAAGAGTTGGATAGTTAAAGAGAAAGAAATTTTAACATTAAAAAATAATTTAAACAACAATATTAGTATTAAAGGAAGAGACAAACGATTTGGGGATGTAGTTAATGGGATACTTTGATTTCAGGTTAGGCAATATATGAATAGAAATGATGGTGTTAAGTAAGACTTCAGGTTAGCAATGTTTTTGTTTTGTTTTTCTGGTGGTGCTGGGGGTCAAACCCAGGACCTTGTGTATGCTCAGCACTTGCTCTACCACTGAGCTACATCCCCAGTCCCAGTAATGTTTTAAAGAAAAATAAAATTGGCTGGAAATACTGTGTTTCACTGTCAGAGATTCAATCAGTAATTTCCCCTTCCTTTACCATTTGAAAAACAAGCATGCTAGTTTGCAGTAATAGTTTCTGATTGAGAAAGTAATGAAAATAAAAGGTAATTCATATACATAACTAACATACTCTATGCTGGCATGTCATAAAAGATAAGGATAATGACTTTCTGACATATCTAGTGAGATTCTTAATCCAAAAGATTGAAGGAGCAATTTGGGCCACAGTCAGACTTTGTTATTTAATAAGAGGCTTCAGATGTTTGAGCTAAAAGATCGGTGGAGGGAGTTAATTGTCATTTTTGTTTCTGGGTAGATAATGTTGTTTTTGAATGGTTTGAATAATTTACTTAAAAATGACTGTCAGTTGACTTATTTTCCCAGGGTTTTGATGAATACATGAACCTTGTATTAGATGATGCAGAAGAGATTCATTCTAAAACAAAGTCAAGAAAACAGCTGGGTAAGAATATAGTTCATACAGAATTCTAGAAATGTTTACTTCACTCACAAAATTGAGTGACCTGCAGCTCAATTTATTTTTAAATTTGGTTTGCATTTGAGAAGTTATCTTTGGAAAGAAGCATGCTTTTGGAATCATTTTCCAATTGCTTCTTATCCTGTTTTATTTCTGCTTCTCTTTCTCCACCCACACAGCTTTGGCAGAGGTCACCAAAAACAAATGTTATTAAGTCTAATGAATATTGTTAGTGTTCATGTTATTTAACTCTGTACAAAACTTGGCACTATTGGCCATTTCCTCCCTAACACACTTTGTTCCCTTGGCTCTGGGATAATTTTTCATCTCTGTTATTCCTTTTCAGACTTTTGTATATCACTCTGCAACTATCTTCTTCACCTCCAGGTTGTTCTCCAGTTTTCAGTCCTCTTTTAAAAATATTTGTCTGAGCCAGACATGGTCATGCATTCCTGTAGTCTCAGTGACTCAGAGGCTTGAGGCAGCAGGATCACAAGTTCAAGGCTAGCCTCAGCAACTTAGCAAGGCTCTGTATCACAAAATAAAAAGGACTAGGAATGTGGCTCTGTGATTAAGTGCCCCTGGGCTCAATCCCTAGTAACAAAAACAAAAGCCTGCCAACATTTCTTCATTGACTCTTTTGTGTGTGTAGGTGTGTGGTGCTGGGGATCCAACCCAGGGCCTTGTGCATGTGAGGCAAGCACTACCAACTGAGCTATATCCCCAGCCCTTCTTCTTTGACTTTTTGTGGCTGTTAGGATAAAACAAATATTTTTCACAGATTCTGCGTGGTCCTTTGTGATTTGGCTTTATCTCCTCCTACTTATTATACACTCTGCTGTTTCTTTGTTTGTTTTTTCCCCCTTTTGTCCCACTGTTAAAAATTTTCTCCCTGGCTTCACACCTGCTATGCAAGTGCTCTACCACTAAACTACATCCCAACCCCTATCCCCTCCACAAACAATTGTATGTGTTCCTTTYGCCAAATACTGGGGATGAAACTCAAAGATGTTCTACCACTGAACTACAGCTCTAACCCTTTTCGTTTTTTATTTTGAGATAGGGTCTCATGGTCTCACTAAGTTGTCAAGGCTGACTTTGAATAGTAATCATTTTTCCTCCAGAGTCACTGATATTATAGGAGAGCACTACCACACCCAGCTTCCTGTGACTCTAGAACTTAAATCAAATAGTGCTTTCTCTAAGAAGCCTAGGGTTTGATTGTGTTTTGCCTTGGGATGGGGAAGATGGGGTATGATGTGCCTTCTGAGTTTGTTGTAAAACATTAGTGGGATTGTTTTACTATTGCCTTTGCCATTAGACCATGTACTCCATAAGTGCATATGTCTTGTCTGTTTGTTCCCTAATAAGCCCCAGTAAGTAACTCAATGAGTGACACATAGCAATGCAAAAATATTTGAACAATTTCTTACTCAGGAGGTCTTAGGATTCATGGTTTCATCAAGAGACACCTAATCATTTTTTTTTWCCTTTATTTTTATATGGTGCTGAGTATCAAACCCAGTGCCTCAAGCATGCTAGGCGAGAGCTCTACCTCTGAGCCACAATCCCAACCCATACACTGAATCATTTCTGTTAACCTCCTGTTAACTTGATCTTTATTGAGATATTTTATTTGTTCAGTGCTCATTGTGCAACTCACTAGTATAAAAATGATGATTTCTGTTTTTCCCAGACCTGGAGAATTCTCTTGAAACCATAGTAGGTATGTGGAAAGTCGAATCTTAGAAGTAATAGGATATTTTGCTGTGCTTCTTTCTGCTTAAGCTATTTTTATAAAACAAAATAAAATTGTCTTGCCAGAAAGCAAACCAGTGTTATTTGGGTCAAATTACTTATAAGTTATTTGCCRACTGTTGAATTCCCATGATAGTATCCACTCTACATAATAGATTAATCACCTGTAGAATCCTGGGAAATGAAAATAATAATAATAATGAAGGGGCTGGGGATGTGGCTCAAGGGTAGCACGTTCATCTGGCATGCGTGCGGCCCGGGTTCGATCCTCAGCACCACATACCAACAAAGATGTTGTGTCTGCCAATAACTAAAAAAATAAATAAATAAATAAATAATAATAATGAAAATAATAGTCACTATTGGAGTTGATTAGCTTTTCTCAGACTGTTTTACCAGTGAATACCAGTGCTCTTAAAGATGCTAGTAGATATTTCTCAGGGGAAAAAAAAAGTGCTCTCATCTCAAATATATTTAAGAAATGTGGGTAAAACCTAAATAAGTTTGTTTATTGCAAGATGAAGTCATTAGTATACTAAGTTCTTTTTAAAAGCTGCTTTTGTAGGTGGGGGTGTGCACCCAGGCAAGTGTTCTGCTGTACTACATCCCCAGTTCTAAGAATGAGATTATAATATGCTGCATTTTTCAAACTTAGCTTATAATTCATTTCCAAACTTACACAAACTCAGTACTGGGAAATGTTTGCTTAGGCATGTTCAATTGACTTAGTTTATAGAAACAGTACTTTTTGAAAACAAACACCAACCTTCATTAGATAATTGTTGAAAAGGTATATATGCCCTAATGGAGCTGGAAAGCCTTTCAATATGTGAATACTTGAAAATGTTCACATATCTTTATAAGAGAGAGTATTTTCAAAATATTATTTAAAAACTAGATACAAAATTCTGAGGCTAAAGATAATTACTTATGTCTTAGTATAACTATTAATAACTCTTTCTGTCATTGCAGGTCGGATCATGCTGAAAGGAGATAATATCACTCTGCTACAAAGTGTCTCCAACTAGAAATGATCAATGAAGTGGGTCACAGAGAAAGCTGCAATTTTTTTTTTTTTTTAATTTAGCTGCCCTTTGCCTGGAATATAGTTCTAAAGCATTAGTTCACATTGTTTTGATGACCTATGTTATTACCAGATGAAAATAAATGCTGTGGGACTCTTTTTATTAAAAAAATTTACATTGTTTCTTCTTAATTCAGTGGTAAAGACCTTTTACACAGTGCCATTATTAGCTGTTGGTATTTATTTTAAAGTTTCTAAATGGTTAGGAGTTGCTCTGGGCATTTGCTTTTTTCAGAGCATGAACTTATTTATTCTTAGTATTCTGACAGGCAGTGTTCCAATATTGGGTGGCAGAGAAAGTGAAGGTTTACAAAAATAAACCGGTATTGCACTAACCTATGTCTAAATCAATTCTGATTTTTAGAACTGATAGTATACTTCAATAGTAGAGTGTTTGCCTAACTTGCAAGATTTAGGGCCTCACTAAATTGCTGAGGCTGGCCTCCAACTTGTGATCTTCCTGCCTTAGCTTCCCAAGTCACCAGGATTACAGGTGTTTGCCACCATGCCCACCTAATAATAAAATGTCCTTAAAGTACATTTAAAATAAACCCTGTGGGCTGCAGTTGTGGCTCAGTGGTAGAGCAGTTACTAGTATGCATGAGGCACTGAGTTCGATCCCCAGCACCATATAAAAAAATAGAAAACTAAATAAATTTTTAAAAAAACTAAATGAAAAAAACTGGGGGGGTATTTTTAAAAAATAAAAATAAACCATGTTAAGCTGAGGTTGGTGGTGCATACCTGTAACCCCAGCAGTCCCAGAGGCTGATGCAAGTGGGTTGCAAGTTTGATGCATGACAACTTGGTGAGACCCTGACTCAAAAATTAAATAGTATATTGAAGAAACACCTTTCTAGTATCACTAAGGGTATTGATTTCTCTCCCAGGGTTATGTATTATCTAATTCTTATGTGGACAGATTCTCTCTGTAGCTAAGGGTTATACAATTCTGTTAAATGGTTGCTGAACATCTGCTATTATCTAGGCAAAACTTGAGTGAATACAGTGAAACAGACAAACAGGTAGTTTAATACCATGTCCTAAGCACTATTTAAATAGGATCTTTTCGGGTTTTTGTTTTGTTTTTGAGATGGGGTTGACTTTAAAAGCAAGATCTGCCTGCTTCACACGTCTGGGATTACAGGTATATTCTACCATCCTCAACTTTTAAATTGGATCTTATTTGAAAAAGGCCTATATTATTTTCCAGTGCTGGATATGGAACCCAGGGTTTCACACATGGCAGGCAAGCACTCTATCACTGAGATAGAGACTTCTCATTAAACTGAATAAAAATCTTTTGAGGTAGAGATTTGCAGATGAATATAGAAGTCATTCTAGATGCAGTTCTCTCTGACCATACTTTTTGGTTATATTTTGAGGAAAGGGCTGCTTTAGCTCTTAACATTTTGAATTTTAAGTCTATTAGTATCTAGGGTTTAATTTTAAGCATGCAAAGAAACTATTGGGCAGTAGAGGGAGTTGTAGTCCTAAAACTGCTTCAGCCCTGCTGGTTAAAAGATGGAAGCTTTTTCAAGAGTAAGACCTCCCTGTAGCTTTCTTGGCACCAGAATAGCTGGGAAGGAGGATGAAAGCTGGAACAGTATAATCCCTAAGAAAACCTGCTGGCTGCCTTTTCCATTTCCCTGGGCGGCCTTTCTGACCTGGCTGCCCTGTGTAAGCAGAGCTGTGCCTGCTGTGCCTTAGTCTGAATGGATCAAGACATGGAAGCTTCTATTTTTGACAGCAAAAATGATGATAGTGAGAAATAAGGTACAGGGAACTCTTACAATTGAGYTCTGTATTTAGAAATCTCTGCTTGCTTTCCTGCTCTACTGGAGCCTGTGGTGTTTGCTTTTTAAGTTGTACTTTTCCATAATCTGTAGATTCTTTCTTCCAACCAGAATTTGTATTGCAGGGGGCGTTTTCTCTGCTTCATTAAGGTTACTAAAATATGCTACTGGGAAACTGTTCTTGTCGGCAGCCCTTAGTATGTGAGCAATTATTTTTCTGGAATGGCTGTAGGTTTCTGAGGGGGTCTCTAACCACCCACTAACTCTCTTGTAATGTTCTTGAAAAGGGAGTGGGAGGAGTGAGAATCTGGCTGTAAAAGAAAAGTAAGTGCTGATGTGGGCCTGATGTTTTGTTAGCAGGTAGAGAAAAGGAAAAGCTTGAAAATCCTAGGACTTTGTATGGATGTCAGCTCTTGCCATGGCACACTTGTCAGCAGTTTCAGGATTAGGAAGAGGAATTATCTGATTTAGATGAAGGTATTATGGGCCATGAATTGTCTCACATTACCTTGAAGACACAGGAGTTTTTCCTTTACTAATTATTCCTTCTAAAACCATAACCACCTACTTGTAGGATTTTTTGAGGAGATGCTTGGTAAAACCTTTAAGTCTATTAGTATCTAGGGTTTAATTTTAACTGAAAAGCTATAGCCAATGGAACTTTTTAAAATTAAAATTTATAATATTCACTATGTTTATGATCAAAATGCAAAAAGTATAAAAGGAAATAAAGTAGAAAACAAAAGTCCCTCCTTTTTCCACTTGTATCCCCATAGATGCTTATCCTTGTGTATGTATTGCTAAGGATTGAACATAGGTCCTYGTACATACTAGACAAGCACTCTATATGTATATAGCTTTTTGTTGTTGTTGTTATCTTTTATTTTGGTATTTTAGCTCTTTTTTTAGTTGGTTTTTTAAAAATATTTTTTAGTTGTAGTTAGTACAGTATCTTTATTTATTTATTTTTATGTGATGCTGAGGATCGAACCCAGTACCTCACACATGCAAGGCAAGTGCTTTACCCTTGAGCTACAGCCCCAGCCCATAAAAACAGTTTTAATTGTAAAATATGCATTATATAATATTTACCATCTTAATAATTTTTAAGCATAGTTAGTTCTTTTTCATCTTGCAGAGACTAAACTGCATACCTATTAAACAACAACTCTCCATCCACCTTTCTCCTAGCCTCTGGCAACTACCATTCTACTTTTTCTTTATGATTCTAACTACTTAAAGTACCTTTGTGGGGGCGGGTATTGGAGATTGAAAACTGTACCACTGAGGTTCATTGCCAATCGTTTTCATTATTTTGAAACAGGTTCTCAATAAGTTGCCCAGGTTGGTCTTGAATTCCCAATTCTGCCTCAGCCTCCCCACTTGCTAGGATTTTAGGGTTATACCATCATATCTAGCCTCTTAAGTACCTCTTATGAATGGATTCATACAGTATTTGGGGTGACTGGATTATTTCATTTAGCAGTGTTTGTAAGATCATTCATGTTGCAGAATGGTACAGAATTAATTTTCTTATTTGAAGGTTGCACTATATCATATGTGTATGCTGCATTTTGTTTATTTACTCTGGGTTGTAAATAGATTACTTTGTATTGTAAAGTAAACAGATTACTTTGGATTGTTGTGAATAGTGCTGTCAACATGAGTATGCAAATGTCTCCTAGATCCTTCTTTTGTGTTTGCTGAGAAGTGGCATTGCTGGGTCATCTATTTTTTAATTTTTGTGGAATCACCAATTTTTTATAGCAGCTACATCATTTACTTCTACCAGCAGTGAATAAAGGTTCTACTTTCTCCATGTTCTTGCCAACATTTCTCAGATCCCCCTTTCCAATCCTGGGGATTAAACCTGGCGGAACTGTATCACAGAACTACATTCCCAGCCTTTTTATTTTTTGAGACAGACTCTCCAAATTGCCCAGACTGGACTCTAACCACCACTTGTCCTGCTTCAGCCTTGCAAGTAGCTGGAATTATAAGCATATACCACTGCACCCAGGTTTTTTTTATCTTTGGAGAAACAAGCTATTTTTGTTGTTGAGTTGTAGATCTTTATATATTCTGGTATTAACCTTTTATCAGATGATTTGCAAATGTTTTTTACATTTTATAAGTTTTTTTTGTGTGTGTGTGTGTATGTGTGTTTCTGGGGATTGAATCTAGGACTTGGCATGTGCTAGGCATGTACTGAGCTATATCTCTAGCCTTATAGGTTGCCTTTGTACTCTTTTGATTGTTTTGATGCACAGGTTTTGTTTTGTTTGTGGTGCTGGGGTTTGAACCCAGGACCTCATGCCTGCTAGGCAAATACTACCACTGAGCCATATCCCTTGCAATGCAGTTTTATTTATTTATTTTGCAGTTCTGGGGATTGAACTCAAGGTCTTCCTCTTGCTAGGCAAACTCTCTGTCACTGAGCTRCAACCACCCCACCCCACCCCCCACAGCCAACACCTGAAGAGTTTTAAATTTGGGAGGGGGATGTAGGGTGGGGTATTAGGAATTGAACTCAGGGGCACTCAATCACTGAGCCACATCTCCAGCCCTATTTGAATTTTATTTAGAGACAGGATCTCACTGAGTTGCTTAGCATCTTGCTTTTGCTGAGGCTAGCTTGAACTTGGAATCCTCGTGTCTCAGTCTCCCAAGCTTCTGGAATTACAGGAATAGCACCACCACCCCTGACCTTGCAGTTTTAAATTTTGATATTCATTTTTATTTACTTTTGTTGCCTATGCTTTTGGTAACATGGTTGCTTTACCCTTTTGTTTGCTTATTTTATTGCATGTTGACTATTTATAATTGTATGTATTTATGGAGTACAAAGTGATGTTATCACTTATAAATACAATGTGGGATAATTTAAATCAAGCCAATTAAAATCTATCATCTCAAATACTTCTTTCTTTTGGTACTGGGGATTGAACCCAGGGGTGCTTTACCACTAAGCTACATCCCTAGTCCTTTCTGCTTTTTGTGTTTTATTTTGAAAAAGGTTCTTGCTAAGTTGCTGAGGGTCTCACTTAGTTGCCAAGAATGGCCTTTGTTTGAACCTGTGATTCTCCTAGCTCTGCCTCCCAAGTTGCTGGAATTATAGGCATGTGCTACCAGGCCTGGCTTCAAATACTTATTTTTATGATGAAAACATTCAAAATTTGCTGTTAGCAAATTTGAAATGTACAAGAGACTTGTTTACTACATTCATAATGCCAAACTTTATTCTTTCTGAGATTATATATCCATTGATCATCATCTTCCCATTCTTTTCCCCCCCTACCCTTTGTAACCACGCWCTCTCTGCTCTTGTAAGTTCAGTTGTTTTAGTTTCAACATGTAAATTGGAATACTTGTAGTATTTGTCTTTCTGTACCTGGTTTATTTGACTTAGCATAATGTTCTTCTTCAGTTCTGTACATGTTCTTGAAAATTGTACAGTTCCTTCTTCCTTCCCCCWCTCTCTTCCTTAGCACTCTACCACTGAACTACATACCTAGGACTTTATT